TCCTCTCTATCTGTTATCGCCGAAGACATCTCTATATGTTAACGCCGAAGGCCTCTCTCCTAACCATGACAGCCGCTTTCGACGCTCATAACTCAGTGACACCTTATCCGTTTCAAGAGTTCTTGATCTCGTTAGAACGAGCGTCGCGAGCTCTTTCCAACAAGACCCTAATTGAGTCAAGACATTACGAATTGAGAAAGTTATAAGGGATTCACTCTTCCGCCGAAGGCGTACCGCCGATGGCGAACTGCCTACGCGTAGGTGAATTCCTTCCGCCTATGCAGAGGCGGAATTCCCGGCGGACTTCCCGCCGACGACGAACTCCTTCCGCCTATGCGTAGGCGCTCGTTTTCGCATCTTACGACAGTCACAACTTCCTGAGTCCTCATCCGTTCCAGGCGTTCTTGGGCTCGTTAGAACGAGCGTCGCGAGCTCTTTCCAACAAGACCCTAATTGAGTCAAGACATTACGAATTGAGAAAGTTATAAGGGATTCACTCTTCCGCCGAAGGCGTACCGCCGATGGCAAACTGCCTACGCGTAGGTGAATTCCTTCCGCCTATGCAGAGGCGGAATTCCCGGCGGACTTCCCGCCGACGACGAACTCCTTCCGCCTATGCGTAGGCGCTCGTTTTCGCATCTTACGACAGTCACAACTTCCTGAGTCCTCATCCGTTCCAGGCGTTTTTGGGCTCGTTAGAACGAGCGTCGCGAGCTCTTTCCAACAAGACCCTAACCAAGTCAAGGCGTTGTGAATTGAGAAAGTTATGAGTGATTGACTTTTCCGCCGAAGGCCTACCGCCTATGGCGAACTGCCTACGCGTAGGTGAATTCCTTCCGCCTATGCGTAGGCGGAATTCCCGGCGGACTTCCCGCCGACGACGAACTCCTTCCGCCTATGCGTAGGTGCTCGTCTTCGCATCTTCCGACAGTCACAACTCCGTGAGTCCTCATCCGTTCCAGGCGTTCTTGGGCTCGTTAGAACAAGCGTGTCGAGCTCTTTCCAACAAGACCCTAACCAAGTCAAGGCGTTGTGAATTGAGAAAGTTATGAGGGATTGACTTTTCCGCCGAAGTCCTACCGCCGAAGGCCCTTGCCCCGAAGGCGTCTACCGCCAAAGGCGCATCTTCCGGCGGTTCTTCCGCCAAAGGCGTACCACCGAAGTAGCTATACCGCCGAAGTCCCCCCATCAGTAACTTCCGACACTCATAACTAAGTGATTTCTCATTCGTTTTACAAGTTCTTGGGCTCGTTACAACCAGCGCGTCGAGCTCTTTCCAACAAAATCCAAAGCAACTCAAGGCGTTACGAATTGAGAAAGTTGTGAGTGATCTACCGCCGAAGGTGCTCGAAGCGGATCCTACAGCATGAACCGCCCGTTCCGTCCCAAGCGTTCCACTGTGGCCTAAGCCCAAAACCCCTTGACTGTACTCGATCCTCTTTTTACTCTGGTTTCGCGCACCGATTACTATTTACAGCTGCTACCGCGGTACTTACTATTCAAAAATGTTGTAGTTCCGACGAAAAACAAAAAATGGGTTACCACAATAGCCCTGTTCGCGCAGCGCCGAAGGCGTATCGCCGAAGGCGCGGCGACGGAGGCCTTGCCTCTGGCCGACTCGCATCTCTGTTTTATCCCGCACCGTCGAAGGTGTTGACTCATAGCGCCGAAGGCAAACTCTTGAAGACGTCCGTCGACGTAGGTGCATCGCCGAAGGCGTTGACCGCAGTCAACTGGTCTTGTCCTTTCTATCGATCCCTCTTGTCCCCCCGAAGGCGCTCGTGCCGCAGGAGTTCCGTTCCGCCGAAGGCGCACGTGTTCGTACCGCCGAAGGCGTTGGGCCGAAGGCGGACCGTACGGAGTTGCTTGCCCCGAAGGCGTTGACCTAATCTTGATGCGCTGGCGCCAAAGGCGCTCGTACGAAGGAGTTCACCCCCGAAGGCGTTGACCTAGGGCCAAAGGCGACTGAGCCGAAGGCGGCTCGTCCGTTGACCTAGCCCTTCCGACTTCCTAGACTTTCACTATCTTAATTTCGGCAATACACGTCGTTCCGTTGATTTTACCGGTTTATGCTAGCGAATATTCCACTCTCTTGGTCGTAAAAAACAAGCTTCTATTTTTGATGATACTACCAAAGCAGAATACAATACGCTTTTCAAAGCAACCAAAGAAGATGTCTACATGCCTAGATTGTATACATCAACAAGCTCAATATTCTATTGCTTGTTGCAGTCTCCATTACATGTAAAGAATCCAACATTTGCAAAGATATCAAGCACGCAGCAACTCCATCGCACACGAATTTGAAACTCTCATGTGACAAATAAGGTGTTGAAAACTTGCTCTTAATCTTGTCTTTTATTCTAAAACCAAACACATTGAGATCAAGGATCATTTTGTAAGGGATTGAGTTTTAAAGGGGAAAATTACACTTGATTACATACACATAGTAGACAATCCGACTAATCTTATGACAAAGCTCCTGCCACGACACAAGTTTGACAAACATTGCACTTTATTACATACACATAGAGGACAATCCGACTAATCTTGTCACAAAGCTCCTGCCACGACACAAGTTTGAAAAACATTGCACTTTATTACATACACACAGAGGACACTCCAATTTATCTTATGACAAAGCTCATGCCACGACACAAGTTTGTCAAACATCAACACTTTATTAATATGCGATCATTGGCGGAATTACAAGAGTTTTTCTCCCCTAGCCGTTCACCATTGCTGCCAACCAATCCTCACAATTGGGCCTGATTTTCCAACACTATCTTTTAGCAACTCGATAGTTGCTTCCAACCCACCTGAACAATCTCACATGGGACAGCCATGTTATCCGCAAGCACTCAAATACAAGCGACCACTATCTTCAGCGCCATGCGACAGTATCATTGCGATTAGAGTGTTCTCCTCAAGAGGGGATGTTGTAAGACTAAGTAGATCCTAATCGAAGAGAATTACTTAAAATCTAAATGTAGAACTATGGAGGCAATTCTCCCTTGTACTTTAGTGCTAAAACTCAAGTGTGAATTCAGTCGGTTCTAGGTTTAGGTGAGTAACTCAGTTACTCAACTCAGTTGTTGTGTATAAGTGTGAAACTAACAAGTGTTGCGCTGAATCAATAAAACTATTTAGTTTTATTTCTTTTAACATCAATCCCTGCGGCGCCTCTTCTAAAATTTACATTCATTGCCTGAATAGATGTGAATAACCTCCGTGCGTGTCACTGTCGCGCAAGCAAAACGCAAATGTTTCAAATTCACTTCAAGATATCTACGAATATTCAATGAGTTTGTGAGTCAAGTAGATTAGGACGTGTCAATGATGCTGGCAGTTAATTTCTGAAACATTCAACGACATAAGAGAAGAGGCTCTGCGGAGTAAAGTAGGACCAGATTTTCCTGTCGTTCTTTACCGAGCCGAGTCCTTTCCAACTATAGTCAACGATAAATTGAGGCAACATTTACGAAGTTCCATTTATTGAGAATGGTACCAAAATATTTCGCCACGCAAGAAGAAAACTACTGTTTGTTTGTAACGTCTGACTCGTCTCTTACGCAGCGCTACAATCGACCTTTGGCAATACAAGATCCAGATTGAAAAGTTCCTTTTCACAATATGTTCATCAGTCTAAATGAAATGAATCAACCATTTGAAGGATTGATTGGCTATGAAGTCCACGGAAAATAGATAGTGCTGATCACCAAAGGTTCCGAGGATCGAGATAGTGCATTCAGACCCGATTCTCTGAAGGGACATCCGTTTGCCACCAGAAGGTTCAGAAGGTTGGTATACGACTTTGTTGCATGAATTGATTCCTTGAACAAGAAATATGTCCTCTTGTAGTAAACTCATAAAACTTGACATTTAAGAGGAGAGCTTATGACTCTCATCCGTAACATGCAGTCTCTGCTACTCAGGTAAAGTACACAACATAACATAAATAGCAGTCATGAACTATTAATTTTACAATTTCTTGTAGATATCGCTCCACGGACTATACACGTTAGTAGATCAATAGTCCGAATTGTTTCTACATTAGACCACTGGATCTAAGTGATTTTGAATCTACAAATCTACAGACATCAGATTCTTTGGGAAGATGGAATAGCGCTGTGGTGTCGACAAGTCGATGTACTCAGCAATGGTTTTTGCCAGGAATAGTTTCAGCTAAAGATTGTGATTGCTTACGAAGTCATCTGCAATGGTAATTATAAACCAATGCGCACATAAATAGGTGCTGCTGTGATTCCAAAGAGCACTGAATGACAAGAGAGATCAGAAGTTCTATATTCCCGATGTCTTGGTTGATATAATGAGTTGATGTATTCAAATATTTATGCTACAGCAATATTTCAGAAGTTATGTACGTTAGTAATTGATTGAAATCTCGACTCAGAGTATTTCAATATTCAATTTTCTTTCCAATTTACTTCATACATGGAATCTATCTACAATATTTTACAAGTCATATATATCAGAAAAACCTGAACAACAATCAAGTTTAGCATAAATAAAATATTATAGTATCGTGCCGCCTAAACTCTGTGCTGGCTTGTCTCCGGCAACACGGCTAGAATTGCGTAAAGCGTCCCACTATCCTCACTGGGAAAGCCCAAGGGGTATTTCAAAAATTGTCAGTCTTCTAGTTGCCCAGCTTTCTGAAGAACTCTGACGATGAATAAGGTGGCGAGATGGAAGAGAATGAGTCTAGAAAGACGGACATTTCGGTGATGAACTGTGGAGACATCATTGAAGCTTGCCCTTGCAATATGAAAAATGGTGACCCCCATGCCTAGTGCCATCAGAAAGGCTGGCACTTGCACTGCTCGGTGCGAGGTAAAATATGTCGAGTCCTACTAGCGCTAGTGCCCCATGTTGCTGTTTTCTTATTGCAGTGGACTCAGTCCTGTGTACAGGGAATGGATAGAGAAAGAGATCAACATTACTCAATATTACTGCAAGTCGGATCATTCGAGTGTACCTCCATGTGGGGTACTCTTGGCGCTATTATATTCACCAACACACAGCACATAAGATAAAGGGCTTTCTGAACTCCGTCACAAGACTGCTCGGCGACCATCTTGTCTTTTCATCGCATTTAACCAACCCTTAAGGCTGGGATCACCCCGGAGCAAAACACAATCAGGGTGAGAGTCAGCACGAAAGATGAGGACGAGCTGCAGCTGCAGCAGCAATGACAGAAAAGTCGATCTTCTTGGCGGCTTGAATACCGATTAGTCTTTTTACTTATTCCACTCTACATTGGTAGTCAAAAAGGTTCATCGAGGGTCATCGTTTTCTGACCTGGATGAATCGAGTCAAGTTTGTCCCGGAGCGGAAGTAATTCCACTTCATCCTACCTCGCCTCAAAGAATCTAAGTGAACTGAGGTACAAAGAAATACACGTCTCTCTCTTCCGATTAGATAAAACCCTTTGGGATCTGTCTTCGTTGAAATTTAGGCAGATCTGTGACAGGGGAGCTCTGTTCACAATGTATGGGGTAGTGATTCCTAAAAACACGGTTTTTACAGAAGCGTCCTAAATTTTGATTAAGGCTAAATACGACACGTGGATCGCCGCGGCGGCCGCGTGTTCGGTGACGTGGATACTACCTGGTAGTGGGGTACGTCCGGCCGGGATCCGCGCCACGGGTGTCCGAGGGAAGCCGAAGGTAGGTGGAGCTCGGGGTGAAGAGCGTGGCGCATCCACCGGTCGCACCGGCGTGCTCCGGTACCGAGGACACCGTCGACTGCAACGTCGGGTACGACTCCGTCGCGTTGGGCGAGGAATCGATCCGCAAGTAAGGATCGGACCCTCCGTCGCCGGCGCTCGAACGCGCCAGCTGGAACTCGAGGGCCTCCGTCAACCCTCGCCCGACCTGCTTCATGTCGGGCCGGTTGACTCCGTGCGGCTCCAAGCTGCCCATGGCAAGCTCGGCCACCTTCCACAAGGACTCCATGTTGTACGCCCCCGACTTGATGACCGGATCCACGATCGACTCCAGGTTGTTGTCCAGCAGCTGGCCACGTGCCTGTCCATCAACGCCCCGTCAGCCCATACCATCCTCATCAGCAGCATTCCAATAATAATGATATATAATTTACATAATAGCAATAAATAATGACTCTTACCCATTCGATCAGGTTATATTGCAGGCTCTCGGCGTGGAGGATGCTGTTGGGGGCTCGGCCGCAGATGATCTCCAGCAGCACGACACCGAAGCTGTAGACGTCGCTCTTCTGGGTCAGCCTGCTGAGCGCGTAGTACCTGCATCGAATCGAAGTGCACATCCCGTCGGGTCAGACCGAGCTGAGAGTCCGTCATTCGAGACGACGTTTCAGAGACGGCTGCAGAAATTCGACGGGAGTGCAGCAATTGTGAGGGTTTTACTCACTCCGGGTCGAGGTAGCCAGTGGTTCCTCGAACGAGGGTCGACACACCGTTGGTATCATCTCCGTCAGGAGCCAGCTTCGAGATTCCGAAGTCGGCGACCTTGGACATGAGCTTCCCGTTCAGCAGAATGTTGTTGCTGTTGATATCACGGTGGATGATTTTGGGACTGCAGTCGTTGTGAAGGTACTCCAAGCCTGGAAATCATTCATCCTGCTCATCAGAGGTTCTCATGCCACCTATCGGTAACCGAGACTGAAATCATGTCGGGATCTTTGCGTACTGACTCTGATCTGAGCCTCATTTGGTGGCAGCCTCGTACCTTTGGCGGCATCGATGGCGATGTTGAGTCGTTCGGTCCAGGTTAGAGTGCCCTTCATGTCTGCACGCACACGAATACATCGGATCCAGCCTTCGTAGGTGTAAGTAAGGTCGCAGAGAGATTCGTTTAAAACGAAAACTGAATCAAAATTGGTCGTACCTTTGCCGTAGAGATGCTCACGCAGAGTCCCTTTGGACATGTATTCATAGACCAGAATTTGCTGCCCACTCTCTTCGCAGTAACCGACCAGCGACACGAGGCTCCTGTGGTGCACTCTCGAGAGAAGAGAAACCTGCGAAATCACCACGCAGCATATGCCTGAACATCAGGCCTACGATCTACAGATTGACCACGAAGGCTGTGAAAAAACCATCCAGACTGACCGTGATCAGACAGCAGCAGGCTGGGAAGGTCTCACCTCGTTGATGAACTCTGTTGTCCCTTGACCGGATTTTTCAGAATTTACTTTCACAGCTACTTCGGATCCATCGGGAAGTTTTCCGTAGTAGACAAGTCCGAATCCGCCCTGTCCGATTTTCTTCTCGTATCCATTCGTTGCATGCTGCACCTCAGCCAGAGAGAAACCTCTGGCCTGGTTAACGTGACCAACTGTCGATGCCCCACTGCGACTTGATGGTGCTACTGCTCCTCCTCCTCCTCCTGCAAGATATGATGCTCCTGGATTTCGTCCGGAATATCAGTATCGAAAACTCACCGAGAGACTCGGAATGTTCAATTCACACTGGTGCAATCTTACCCTTGACATCGCTGCTGGCGGTTTCACTCATGGCCGCGGGAACGGAAGGCGGGCGTCTGCGTCTCCTGCAGTGTAAGCAGAGGAAGAGGCCGAGGATGAGGGAAACGACGACCACGCCCCCGACGGCGCCACCGATGACCGCCCCGCTGACTCCTCTACTCTTGTTGTTGCCTCCCGGTACAGGAGCAGCAAGGACCGGACAATTCTCCGTCGCAGAGCAGAGATTGACGTTTCCGTCAGTTCTGTCCGACACAAGGGAAATGTTATTGTCGAGGATTAGAGTCAAAAGCAGAGTGGGCCTTCGATCAACACACGGTTTCAGAACGGCAGGAGACTCACAGACACTTCACATCACACTTCACCTAAAATTCAGAGGAAAATTCCACAAAATTCCCTCAATGTTCCCTCCGATGCGTGGAGGAGAAAGAGGCGACGACGCCCCGGGCGTGCAATTATCTACCTAAGTAGCAAGCTATTCCGATCAGCGAGAGAAGCTGGAACTGTTCCCGATAATTTGTTGTCCGACAGGAACCTGCGAGACCAATTTCTCATTAGAAACCTCCGTTCAGATTTCATAAGAAATCGTGCTGTCTCCTGACTCATCAAGAGAACATTTTGCGGCCCTTAAAGAATTTTATATAAACACTCACAACTTCGTAAGTGCGGGAAGAAGAGATAATGTCTCAGGAATAGCACCCGCCAAGGAATTGTTCTGCAAATGTCTGTGAACAAGAACGAGTGAGAAAACAGCAGCAGCTGACTGCACTTTACTTCTACTCTGCCACGAGTAATTAACAGCCGCACAAGTCATAAGGGAGATCGAATCTCGATACTCACAGAGTTTTCAGGAGCCTCAGGGTACTCAGATCTGGAATAACACCGCTGATCTGGTTGTTGTCGAGCCATCTGGAGAGCAGCGCATGAGTTTTATGGACGATCCTGTGTATCTCAGAGAAGGCGACAGACTACAACAAAGGAACAGCAAGTACGAGATGAAGTAACTTACAAATCCGTGAGCGCAGTCAAAGCTCCGAGGCTCTCAGGCATGGTCCCCACAAGATTCAAGTCCGATAGTTTTCTGTGGTCATCAAACTTGCATTAGTCAAAAGACAGATTTTCGCCCGTGCTGACCAGCCAGGTATCTTGTGCATCTCTCAACCACCAGTAGATAGTCGCATGGGTCAAAGCCCAGGGGAATTCGCGCAACTCACATTGTGATCACTCTGGGCGATGATGAGTTGTCGCAAGTGACCCAACTGTAGGGGACTGGAAGGCAAGGATCACCGGCCCACGAATTCAAGCCGAGATCAGCTTTCACCGAAACCAACACAGCCACTGCACGTGATGCCAGGAACAAAGCAATCCATCAGAATTTCTCCAATACATGTAAGAGGCTCTGGCTCCTCCTGGTTCCTCCTATCTACTCAAGTTTGGTCGGCTTTCTCTCCAATCATGACTAAAGCCTGGCACACCGAGCTGAGATGAGTCCAATAGTCTGAATTTCGTGATATCCTGCATGACCTCCGATCGACGTTGTGGAATGAAGAATGCTGACAGAATCTCATATCCCCAATCCTCATTCTGCTGCATTAACCTGTCGTCGCCGCTTTCCTCACTTTCAGAGATGCAACGGGCAGGAGATGCGAGTTACCATCGAGTTCATCGGTTCTCATAACGACGGCTGCTCTCGAAGCGTAGATCTCGGCGGCGTTGAGGAGAGGACCGAGAGTCGCAAAAGGCAGAGCGGACATACTGAAATTGACACCTTGGGTGTCGACAATCAAATCTCTTTGATACAGAGTATTGGTACTGACAGTGACATTCAAGTCGTCCCAGAAAATCCCATTGTACTCCACTTTCACAGCCCTTATATCGGAAGCCTTCACGGTCTGGATCTCGGCAAAAAACAGACTCGTGTAGTAAGAACCAGTCTTCTGCAACTCGTACTGCGGAACAGGAGTGAACCACCACAGATCGCCCAGCCACGCAGTCTGCATCACCAGCTTCGGCGGCTTGTCAAAGTTGTTATCCGGAACGAGTATCATTATGCTCGTTTGGGCCGTGGTTACGGTGTAAGTAGGCCCGGGGGTGATCCACAGTCTATCATACGGATCATCAGGGTACCTGTCGAGCAGCGAGACACGATCAGCTCGTTTCCTCGAGGCGAGATTCTCGTGACAAGCACAGAATTCCATATCTTCATCCATTCACTGGGGACGGGGGGATTAGCAGACCCACCTGACAGTCGGATCTGCGCCCGAGGTGCCACAATTCAACCTGATTATATTCTTAAGGTATATCCCGTCGTGGACGACATCGTACATGCCGGGAGCAAGCGGTCGAAGCTCCAGGGAGGAGATGATGGGCGGTCCGTCGTCTGGGAGGAGGCAGAAGTCGATGTACTCGTTCGTGGCGACGACTACATACTCGAATACTTGAGGAGTGTCGACCTCGACCGATGTGATGTTGACGGTGTCGGCGAGGGTGGAGTCGATGGACACCTGAAAGCTGTACTGGTCGGACGCAGCTTGGAAGTTGGAGTAGAGGAACATGGCTCGCAGGATGTAGGACGAGTTGTAAACAGCCGGCAGTGTGTAGCAGTGCTTGCTTCTGTCTGACGAGAAGAAGCGCAGGCTCTTCATCTGTCGCGCATTGTCATTCACCGACGCCTGCACGGCTTTGTTCTCCCCCGTGCCCACGAAGCCTTCGTCGGTCGTCCACACGATTCCCGACATCGGATCCGTGAAGTTGCTCGTCGCTCCGCAGTCTATGCTCACGAATCCTGCACCCAGCATCACCGACCCCCGTTATTAGCACGAGTCCGCTCAATGTCGCTCGCATTGGCCGACTCATTCTGAATCCAAAATTCTCTCTCGTGCCACTCGGTCGCTCCTGCCCGGCGACCGAGTGGCATTTCCACTCCCCTGGCTCCCCACACTTTCCTCGAGGTTGAAAAAATCTCCGCACAGACGAATCGGCATCCAACCTGCTAACGAAGTCATCCGACTCATCTCATAATTACCATCCTGTTGAGCTGCGGCGAAGTTGAGCAGCAATGCCAGCATCCACAGCAGGATGCCATGTCCTCTCCTGAACCGACTCATCGCTCCTCGTCTCTCTTGACGGTTCCGCCACGGACGGTCTTCGCTTCCTGGCACTCTCGACCTGAGCCCGAACTGAAGTTAATTTTCTATCTGCTACTTCTATCTTCTACCATCTACCATCTACCATCTAATCTTCTGATCTTCCACATGCTCTGCTTCCGTCGCTCCTCATAGTCGAGCTGTTCGCAGCATCCCCAAGCTCTGCTCAGCTCAGCTCGCAAGTGAGCCTCGAGCCAGTACTGGGGAAACGGAAACTGGGAGATGATCCGCACCATGCATGCAGTCAGACAAGTCGGATCATCCACACCGATCGATCGTCGCTCACAGGATAAATCGCTCTTTTGTAAGTTGATGGCCCTTTTGTCAATTTCTCGAGCCCTTGCCGTCGACTGCTCTTCTGCATTCCCAGTTCTCTGCCCCCACCGAAGCTTTCTGGTAGGCCCCAACAATGATAATAACACCGGCCGAGCTTTGACTTCAGAGGTCCGGGCCCCGAATCTGGCTCTCTCAAATTGTACCTCCTGTCACAGTCCGGCACCGGAGCTGAATTTCACCTCGCTCATCAGAGTTATGAAATCTTCTTGTCTGGTTCTACTCAGCAACGCTGGATGGAGAGAGAGAGAGAGAGAGAGAGTGTCAGTCTGTCTGAAGAGACGGTGAATGAATATTAGATGTGGATTGTGGACGCTTAGAACAATTTAAAACACACAGAAGCCTTTTGTAACCGGCCACATGCACCTCCACAGGACATTTCTTGTGTGAGAACATGAAACATTGGAGCAGAACTGAAATCCACGTCGCACTGCGTCCTATGATTACTCCTTCCGCAGCTAGTGCTAGAGTCAGTCGATCATTCCTGATCATCTTTTATTTTGCGTTGTAGTGGACTCGAAGGACTGGACAAGCGAAACGGACGTAGCAATTTATTAAATTTAGCTTCTATACAGTTTGATCTCATAGGTTTCAAATTCCGTAGTGAAGTCTTCACTACCTTATTGAACGCTGCTATTTCTGAGAGAATCACTACGGAAAATAGATACTGCTGATTACCAAAGGGTCCGGGGATCGAGATGGCAGAGAATTCGAAGTCCGAATCGTGTGTACATTAGACCACCGGAGACCACTGTACCTAAACGATTTTGAATATACAAATTTGCAGGCATCAGATTCTTTATGAAGATTGAATAGCGCCGTGGTGTCGACAAGTCGATGTACTCAGCAATGGTTTCTGCCAGGAATAGTCTCAGCGAAAGTTTGTGATTGCTTACGAAGTAATCTGCAACGGTAATTATAGACCAGTGCGCACATAACTACGTGCTGCTGTGACTCCAAAGGACACTGAATGCCAAGAAAGATCAGATGTTATTATTTTCCCAAGGTCTTGGTTGATATCATGAGAAGATATATTCAAGTACTTCTGCTACAGCAATATTTCATAAGTTGTGTACGTTAGGATTTTATTGATTTCTCTACTAAGAGTATTTCAATATTCAAATTTTTTCTTAATATTTGTTTCATAAAATGGAATCTATCTATAATATTCAACAAATCATATTTATCAGTAAAACCTGAACAAGAATCAAGTTCAGCGGGAATGACGTTTTCTTAAATCGTGCCGCCTAAACTCTGTGCTGGCTTGTCTCCGGCAACAAGGCGACAAGGATTGTATTGCATAAAGCGTCCTACTATACTCACGGGCAAGTACTACAGTACTTGCCCGTGAGTGAGTTCATCTCACCTCATGCTGTAGCATGTGGGTGAGATGAACTTTTCATTCAGTCTTGTTAATGTGATATCAGTATTAATTTCTTTCATTAAGACTATAGCAATTATAAAAATGACTGCAAGCATTGATCGACTTAAACTCATCATCATGATGAGTTTGATTCGATCAATGATTGCAGTCACTCAACCCACAACAAATCTTAAAATCTTCACAATTGGAGTGGGCGATAATAGTTACAGTTGCCAGCACTGTTAGACGTGGGTGCATTCGTTGTGAAGTAGCATTGCAACGGGTCAAGAAAGTCTTTGTGATGCACCAAAGTTCGGTTGAGCTGAATCGGTATCTTCTAGGTCCAATTGTAACATTATTCCACTGGGAGGCGTACTGCTTGCCACATGCTTCATGTTCCTAGAAGGTGAATAGTGATAATGGGTCACTGCTGCAGGAGTTAAACGTCTTCAGAATCCTTTGCAAGGTAGCAGGACATTGTAACTACCAATCGAGGCCCTGAAGTGGGCTTTTCGTGCATATACAGGACCGCGAGCAGACCAAGGAGGGTGCTTTTCAGCAGAAACGCTAAAGCTCTCCATCCCCACTTGTAATTCGTTCTGCAGAAATTAGGATAGGTGTCTGAAGAATACTATTGTTTCTTACATGTTCTGGCCTTGGCTGGGTTGAGGCCTTGGCTGGGTTCTGGCCTTGGCTTGGTTGAATATATACGTGAAATTTCGTCTTTCCGTGTCAAAAGCCTTACAAAAATGTGACAATACTTTCATAGTAGTCCTGTTAATAGTGTCTGAATGACTTTTACCCAGGTATCACGCTTCAGAATTACTCGTTCAAATTTTCAAACTAGGTTTGCGTGAGATTAAGAGAAAGACGCTTTCAATGTCATGGATGAGGTCTCCATGCGATAGGATCGAATCTCTTTGCTTTGACCAACTCAACAATCCGAACTACATGCAGAAAGAAAACCCTGCAATTCTTGCAATGTCTTCACATCCTCTAGTTTTGAGACAAGAAATCGCAACCTTCTCAAATTATCGTATCAAATCGTAATTTCTCAAAACCGTCTGAAGTGGTGACTGTCTACTTGCGTCGCGGGAACTTGTTCCCGCGACGCAAACTTGCCAGAACTTGCCGGAACTTGTTCCGGCAATCGAAAGCTCCTTCTTGAAGCTGTACTTGCATGGAGTGATAATTTTGCACATTTACTACTTTGTTTCTTGTACTATTCCGCTTGTAGATTAAATACCAAACACGCAGACTGGAGTCCCGCTTAAATCGTCAGTTATATAGCGGCCGCTAACATAATTAAGTTCAAAGTTGGAGAACAAGAGCTACATGGACTAATTTTACTAGAATATGGCCCGAGAATTTATTTTTTTGATTTTGAAAATTAAAAAATAAACAACTGTAAGTATGGTACTACCAACAGCCACAGTTCTAGACCTTCTAAAACATTAACCTTATGAGTCAGATAGCTCAACGGGAGGTGGTCAATTTGAAACACATATACACGCAAAAAAAGTCAACGAGGAAAGTTCCTGACTGCATAAACCTTACCCAACCACTCTTGTTATGGAGTGGATTAGTTCCGCATCTTTACGAACTCACTAGTACGGCGCTTTCAGATTAGTCATATGTAAAAATTGTGCTTATCTTATGTTCGTAGCAAAATGAAACTCCCTTGTTAATCTTAGCTGTGATAGATTTTTACAAAGCAAAACTTTTGGCCAATGATCATATATTGATCTTAGACAACCACAACAAGTAATTTCATACTAAATGGAACTGGAAAGCAAAAATGGCTGGATCACTCAAACAATTCCTCTGGACATGCAACAGAATCTCCCACTTCGGAGTTTAAGTCACGGAGTCAAGTTACTGTGTCGTGGTTGGAACCAACTCACGGATATCGAGAACTCAGAAGTGGAAGTTTAGATGAAACTCGTGATTTTCGAATGCTCTTTCAGTTATTTGAAGCTTTCTCTCCATGTTCTTTTGACCGGAAAATTCTTTCAAGCCACAAGTGATTTGACATTGTCATCTTGGGTTATTGCAAACCCATTTTGTTAAACCTCGAAACAGAATCCGGTAATTGTACTATTGTTCCGCATGAGTAGCTTCACTTTAGCTGAAACTCTGTTGTCTCTGTTCCTCGTTTGTCCGAAGCCAGTGGGACTTTAACCCATAAGCGTACAAGCATCTCAATGCTCGAGAGCAGGTACACTTGTACAGAATTCCACTTAGACTCACATTGACCGCTTGTTCAGCCCATAGCGAACTATTCTTTCGCCTTTTACTAAAGAATACCGTGTGCGGGACACAAGCGGCTCTAACCAATCTTTGGGACGCCCCCTTGTCGGGGCACCACCATGTAAACAAAATAAGCATCTTCTGCGACACCTTGAGACTACGTGTAATTAATATCGTGCTCAGATGCAAGCGAGCATGGTAAATGTATAAGTAAGGTGTCGGGCAGTTGGGTGTTAAACCCTGTTGGAGCCCCAAACGACCACATGATTGATTCATATCAAACGACGCAGTTGTTCATACCTCTTCTAGTAGGAGCACTACCCGGACCTGGACCTGCGTGTGTTTCAGATTTTGGCTCTTTTGGTTCATTCTATTCATTTTGATGATCATATCTTTAAGATTTCTACACGTTTTTTATGTTCTGTTTGACAGACTGTTACATGGCCTTCCCACGAAAAAGCATTGGTATGATGGAGAAAAGCTTTTGGAAGAGGTAAGGGTAGTAGTACTTCAGCTGGTAGAGAATACAACATCCTTGCCACCAGCTCTGCCAGGGCCGCAGACTCCGTATCAATGAATAAGAACAAATTATTCTGTATCGGAAAATATTTACAGAGTTACAATTGACACTCGACGTCGAAATGTGATTGTAATCAATGTGGACTTTGTTCAAGCAACTGCTCCATATCTATCTGCGCGAATTGTGTTAACAATCGACAAACTCTGGCCTGTTGGTCTATAATTTTCAGGTCCCTTTTAATATGCGGAAGTCTGCTACAGCCATTCGAATCAGTCGCCAAAGGCAAGTCACTCCGTTTATCGTACAGCATCAGATTGACTGTAACGCGCTAAACAAAGCAAGATACATTGTTGGTATACCGGATGTTACTCGTAGTGTTCTTCAGTTGGCACTTGATAGGGACTTGGTACATTGCTTGATGTTAAAATGATAGACTGCAGTACATATTCAGTGCATATAAACTGAGTATTTACAGCTCCTAAATTTCTCTAAAGAAGGCCCTCTGATTGGGGAACGTCGTGCCAGCTGATTTTCCAGATCTTCTTGGCCTATGGGCCCCAAGACTTTGTGCACCATGTTGAAGCACAGGTAGAAAATCTTACATTTCTTCTTCAATTCACTCTTACCAGACTCAACTTCAAATTCTTGTACAGGCAAAACAGGGAAAAATGATGTGAGTTGCATGGTGCCTAATCCTGACAGGATGAATTATAAGGCTGTACATTATTTTTAGAGTCTTGAGGCATAAATTGTCGACTAGATCGTAGATAATCTCATACATTTCTGTATCAAATAGGTTTCATGAGTCCACTGAAGTCCAAATTAGGGTAGTCGCCGATGATGGTCAGGCGGCTATGAAAATTGCTTCCGAAATAAGACTTTCATTATGTTGTCGTACATTATTCACATTTGTATAGTACATGTCGTCACCAGATTGGTTTTTTGACCAAAAAATAAAATTTCCACTGCCATGAGGCCATCGTCTTACTGTGCATGACTAAGAATAAGAAAAGTATTCGTCCCGAGCTTAATGATTACCCGGAATTGGATTAGGTCTTCAATGAGGATTGGAAGAAGAGATCTAGCCATGAATACCAAATTTTGACCGATATTAAAACCTACCTCAGAATCTCAAATAACATCCACCGAGTGATCAATGACCGGTGGCAATTGCCTTCAGGACCGATACTTCTACTGTCAGGCCAGGTCCAAATCCCACGACGAGTCCCCACTCGCATCCTTCTCCGGTGGTACTGCTTTTCTTCTCGACCGACCGCCTGCGCATTTGATCCAGTACGAACAGCACACTAGCACCTGACATGTTCCCGTAATTGTATAGAATCTCTCTCGTGGCTTCCATCTTCTCTGGCTTCAAGCACAGAGTTTTCGCCACTTCGTCCAGAATGGCTCGACCTCCTGGGTGCACACACCAGAAAAGATCGTTCCAGCTTGGAGATCCTGCCACCTCGATCGCCTTGTTGAAGATAGGGAGGGTATTTCTTGAAATCAGACCGGGAACATCCTTCAGCAGGTGGAAGATCAGTCCCGCTTCAGTCAGCCTTCCCTCAATCGCACCGTCGCTTTCGGGCAGAATCGTCTCTCCGGACCAGTGAATTTCGAACTGGGGCTTCTCTACCTCGGGTACGGGATCTGATCCAATGATGAGGACCGAAGCTCCATCACCGAAGATGGCAGAGCCTACCAGATTGTCCAGGTGCTCTTCGTTGGGTGCACGGAAAGTTACACACGTGAGCTCACTCACGACAGTGAGAACTCGAGCCCCTTTGTTGTTCTCAGCGAGATCTTTAGCCACTCGTAGAACGGTGGCTCCTCCAAAGCACCCTTGTTGGTAGAGCATGGTTCGGTTCACGTTGGGGTTCAAGCCCAACAGCCTGGTGAGAGTGAGATCGGCTCCGGGCATGTTAACTCCGCTCGTGGTTGCGAACACCACGTGGGTGATCTGATCTCTGGGTTGGCCCCATTCTGCCAACGCCTCCACAGCCGCTTTCTCTGCCAGTCTGGGCACCTCCCTGATTGCTATGTCCTGTCGAACATCAAGTGAGGGATCCTTGTACGTGCACATTGAAGGATTGGCCTTCAAAATCTCCTCTGTACAATGGAAATACCTTTTGTTGATTCCTGAATTCTTACCTGAACAGAAAGAATGAAGAGACAGAAATTGTTATATTCAATTCGGAATTCAATTGTCATCCTCTTTCGATACCAAGACTTACGTACTAACAAAGGATCACATAATTTACTACCAAAGATAATAAATTCTGCAAGGCGAGCAGGAGCTGTAATGACGGTAAGAGGTAATGTGTCCTAGCTGAAAGATGGGCTAAAACAGTCTGGTTCTTACGATAGAAGAAGACATCCTATCCAAGAGGAAGCTGTACGACATGGAGACTTACAAATTCGAGCGAACTTGGCCTTGAGGTCAGTCTTGTGACTGGTGTTGGTGACATCAAAGAAGAAATCCGGGTATTCGCTCTGAGGATACGCAGTTGGAGGAGTGGCCTTGCCGATGGCAAGAACCGTCGCTGGTCCAACAGCCCGCTGGTGTCTATACGAAACATTTCCATTGTTGGCCATGTTTCAAACTGTGCCCTGCAACTCTCACTCTTTCTGAATGTATTCCGAGTGAAAACCGTTTTGAAACTCCCTTCCTTTCAGGTCCTCGGAGAAGAACACTCGTGATCTCTCTGAAGGGCGAATGATGCTCACTGTTGTGTTCTGAGATCGGAAATGCGAAGTATCTATACTGGTGTCTGGTTACATCATTCAGTCACTGCTTCTCTCAAATTATTCGCACGTTTTCATACCGTTGTCAGTTTTTCGTATGTTCGAGCAGTCCATGAATCCCAAGGGTCCTCAATTCGAGTCAAAATGAGATTTTTTGGTTCTCAGCTGAAGAGGAGTCTGGTCTCTTTAGTTTGGCCGGAGTCCGGAGTCTGGACCCACTGTGGGTCCAGACTCCGGACTCCGGCCGAAACTTGTCAGAGGACGCGGTCAGTCTGCCTTCTGTCCAAGAAGTCTTCTCAGGATCGGTGCTAACTGATCTTCTAAACGGTGGGATCTTCCTCACGGTGCTGGCCACCAGATGAGCTTCTTCGTCCTCTGCATTAAAGTTCGCGCCTTGACACATGCATTACAGTAAACTGATTGCCATTGGAATATATCGAATAGCTCAAGTTCGCCGCCATATTTTCACACGCAGTTAGACACCAAGAAACGCGAGGAGCAACTTGTGTGTCACTGCTCCCAATCAGAGTAGAATGCAAATCTCCTAGACTGATTTTCTGAATATGTGAGTCTGACTGTATGCTCTGGGCGGGAGGACAATATAGGTCTCAAATGCTAGTGCTCGAAAATCTAATCAGGGTTAGGACAGTCGGTTACGGCATTTCTGCACTTTTAACTCGATTTAACTCGGCAGTGCAGACCCAACAGTTGGAGGAAGGACATTGCAATAACAACACGTATTTTAGAGTTACGCTGAATCTCATAATTTCGTTCCTGAATTCCGTCGAAGCCCCGCCTTGAGAACCAACTTTATCACGTATAAGAGCATCGCCTGAAATGGCGAAGGAACTCCGTGAAACTTGGGGTTTGACTTTAGCCCCACAGATTTGCAGACCGTGCTCAAAGTCAAAAGCCCACGCTAAACACATGCGCTAATGTCCACTTCAACGTTGGACCGTAGATACGTGCTCATAGTCACCGCGTTGCTATTAGAATATGACAAAATGAAGACCTCTGTGTCTCGGCCGTCGAACTTATTCTGTTGTTCCGCAACGTACAGTCCTGCCGGGACAAAATTACTTTGATGACTCAACAAATGTCTGACGTTCAAGCAGAATCGTCTTGGGTCCTCGATACAGAGTACAACATCTGTATGACCTTCTACAGAATCGAATGAATCTGGTCCTGCCATTTTGGAATATGGTCTCTTGGAATATCTTTTATCATCCCCGCCTAGCCCCTAGCTCATGCTTGCGCCACTTCACATCTAATGCTTGTTAATTGGACTTTTTCTGCGCGCAAACTGGTTCATTACGTGGATATTAGGACCCATAAACCAAGCACCTAATCTGGTCTCAAGATTGTTAATCATCATGAATTGGATGGGCATATAATAGCTAATGAGTTCTATCTCCACTTTCTTGTGTTCTCTTTAAAAGATAAAAAATGGTCACAATGCTTCATAGCTTCGTACAATGTTCATTTCCACACTTTCTACTTTCGTTCTTCACGTGCTATCTTTCTTTCTTTCTTTCAGCTGTTGTTTGTTTGGAGTTTATTTTTTATCTTTGTAAATCTCAATTGAGTCATACTAGACTATAAGGATAAGCTAAGCGAAGGTATTTTATGGTTATCAAAAAATATTTTAATTCTTTATTGAGAAAGAAAATGAGAAAATTCCAATCTACAAAAATTCACTTGAAAAAATGAAGAAAAAATTTATTCGAGTATTGTAGTTCATGTAAGAATTATCAATTAATGATTTTATCTTAACCGTATGTGAAGGAGGAAGTGTTTTTCGATCAACATGGAAGATGGTAAAACAAAAATCCCATGTTTTGATGGCAAACATTTTGGTTATTGGAAACTAAAAATGAAAGATTTGTAGCTTCTTATGGAATGATTGAATACAAATCCGACACCATGGAGTATAAGATGTGGAATAAACTAGATCTTCGTGCACTTGGTCTCATATGTAGTGCTAACTCAACGAATGTGGCTTCACATGTTGCAAGTGATCACAATCTTTGGATTTATCAAAAGACTATTTGATTTTTTTGAAAAGTCTTCAAGTTCCAACAAGATTTATCTTCTACCAAGGCTATTTCAACTACAAATCACGGAAATCGTGTCCATGACAAAGCATGTAGCCAAGTTTAACCATATCGTAAATCAACTGAACGCGAGTGCATATCATTGGGATGATGAATTGCTCACTGATCTCTATACTAGAGAGTTGGTCAATTACCGTAGAGGTGATTTCTGATCAAGTAAAGATAACTCTTGACTATGTTCGTGATCTCACCAATAGCGAAGTTATTTAAAGAAGGGGACGACTAGGGCCACACCCGGTTTTGCTACGGCCACATCCGCCCGTGTAAGTTGCCTCGATCAAAGCCGCCGAAGAAGGTTGAAACGGTATGGCAGTAAAAATAGATCAATAGAACGGCAGCACCGGCGGCAACGGTACAAGCGGCAGCAACGCGGGGCCGCAGCGGCCCCGCGCCCCTTGAAGCCTCTCGACTACACTCTCCTCTGCCTCGCGGACGAGCTCCGCTTAGCAGCTGGGTTTGAGGGGAGGCGTGCTTTGACGCGCAATCAGTTGTTTGTATGTAGCGGGTGTGGCCGTATCAAAAACGGGTGTGGCCACTTTAAAGAAATAAGTGATAAAAGAAGAGGATCGGCCGTAAGTGTTCGAAGGGGTTGAGAGAGTCGAAAGGATGAGAACTGAAGTAGATGGAAATCAAGAGTACGGAGTAAGCCTTGAACCAAAGGTGAGATGGAGTGCTGAAATTGTGGCAGAAAGTATCATTTAAAGCGTGAATGTAAGGTCCCTAAAAAGGCGAAGAAGAAAGTAGACGAGTCCAACTCAATGAATGTAACAACTAAAAAAGATTCAGATGATGATCTAGTCTTATGTGTAGACAGCCCAATCGAATCTTGGATTTTAGATTAAGGTGCTTCTTTTCATTCTACTTCTAGCAAAGACTCGATGAAAATTTTTGAAAACGGAGAATTTGGAAAAGTATTGCTAGCGGTTGGTTATCCTTAAGAGATTACTCGCAAAGATTATGTTCATATTGAGTTGAGCAACACTCACAAATGTACATTGCATGATGTTAGTTACATTCTCGAATTAAAGAAGAATTTAATCTCTTTGGGTAAGTTGGATGCTAAGAAAATTTAGAACTTCCTTTGGAGAAGGTTGTTGGAGAATAGTGAAAGGAGCTCTAGTTGTAGCATGAGGCACCAAGACTGGTACACCTAATCTAACTGACAAGAGTGTAGACTTGGTAGGAGTTGCGGGGGCTCAGACCAAAACAGTCTTGTGGCATAACAAGTTGGGACACATGATTGACTCAGGTATGAAGTTTCTAGCATCAGAGGTTTGTTTCCGCCTATGCACAAGATTGAAACCTACTTATGTGAATATTGAGTGCTTTGCAAAGAGGATTGGGTCAGTTTTTCAGATGAAAACAAAAGGAAGACAAGCTAGATTTTGGGCACACTGACGTGTGAAGACCAGCATCTGTTCTTAAGGAGGCTCGAGGTACTACGCCATTTTTGTCCACGATTCAAGTTATGGATTTACTTTCTCAAACACAGATCCGAAGTATTTGAGGTTTTCAAGAAATGGAAGTTAGAGTTCGGGAATGAAACTAATCAAAAGCTGAAATGTTTGACATCGGATAATGATGTCAAACATGGAGCATACTTCAAGTCATATTGTGAGGAGCATTAAGTCAAGCTAGTGCAAACAGTTCCCAACCAACCACAACGAATGGAATTGTTGAGAGGATGAACTGAATTCTCAACGAACAATCTAGGGCAATGCGATTTCACACATATCTTTCAAAGATGTTTTGGGTAGGGGCAATCAACACGGCAGCTTATCTCATCAAGCTAAGTCCCTCAGTTGCCTTAGAACTTGAGCTATCCGAAGAGAAATGATAAGTTAAAAGGGTATCTCTATCTCACTTGAAATTTTTTGGTTGCACAATATGTGTGCATGTGGACTCAAACAAACGAAACAAGTTAGATCCAAAGGCAAAAAAAAAGAAATTTTTGTGGGTTTGAAACTAATTATTCTGGATAAAGATCTTGGTACGAAAAATGTCAGAAATTGATTAGATCTCGAGATAGTACCTTCAACAAAAATGAATATTATACGAAGTCTATATTCCATGAAGTGAGAGAGATTGATTTGGGTGATTTGGAAATCCCTAATGATATGGCCAAAAGTGAAAGTATGGAAGGTGATGCAATCCAAGGAGATCATGAAGCCAATTATAAATTTGATGATGTTGTGGCCAAAGATGCAATCGATGATCAAGCAGATGTCACTCCACAAGAACTGGTATTGAAAAGCTCTACTCGAGCTTGCAAATCTTAGACTAGGTATCTATCTTCCCTCAATTATCTACTTTTGATCCATTCAGGCAAGCTTGAAGACTACAATGATGTTGTAGATTAAAGTGATGTGGTCAAGTGGGAGCAAGACTTAAAATCCTTGGAGAAGAACAAGACATAGGCCTTGATTCAATTGCCAAATGGAAAGAAGGCGCTACAAAATAAGTGGGTGTATTGAATTAAGGAAAAGACAAATGGCAATAAGCGGTACAGGCTAGATTTGTGATCAAAGGTTTCTTGCAAAAGAAAGATTGTGATTAAACTGAGGTTTATTCATCCATGGTGAAACTTTCAACCATTCAATTATTTTTGGTATTGTGGCAGCCAAAAACTTGCGACTTGATCACCTCGATTTGAAAACGGCTTTCTTTCAAGGAGATTTGGAGGAATAAATTTAAATAAATTTAGATGTAGCTTGAGGGTTTTGAAACTCAGGGACAGAATGACCCTATGTGCAAGTTAAATAAAAACCTATAGGATTTGAAGCAAGAGCCGAGACAACGGTAGAAAAAGTTTGACAAATTCATGAGTAGTCATGGATTCAACGAATTGACATGAACTTTTCTTGCTACTTCAAAGATTTTAGTGTGTCTTATGTCATTTTGCTTTTGTGTGTCAATGACATGCTCATTGGAAGTGCTAATATGAAGGAAATCATCATATTGAAGAGACAATTAGCTCAAGAGTTCAAGATGAAGGATTAACGTCGAG